GCTTACATGAGGCCAAGTCCAACAACACGTCAATAAAACAAGAAAGCAATAAACAAAAACAATATAATTAGTAAAAATCATATATAAACAATAACACACAAAGATTTAAAAATCTATGGCCGGGCCAAATATAATGGTTTAAAATTAAAAATAAATACTGGGCATGAACAAGGTAGGATATATCTGGTAGGAGGGTTTTAAACGAAGTGAGGGAAGCGCACTCTGTGCATTGAGGATATTTTGCTGGAAATTATTTCCTTATTCCAGGAAGGCACACTGGAACAACCACGTTTTCAGGCTCCTCCTAAAGACTGCCAATGTTGGGGCATGCCTGATATCCCTGGGAAGTGACTCCCAGAGTCGGGGAGCCACCACCGAGAAGGCCCTCTCCCTCGTCCCCACCAACCGTGCCTGCAAGGGAGGCAGGAGCGAGAGCAGGACCTCTCCAGATGATCGAAAAGATCATGTGGGTTTGTACACAGAAATGCGGTCACGGAGGTAGGCGGGTCCCAAACTGTTCAGGGCTTTGTAGGTAAGAACCTGCACCTTGAATTGGGACTGGAAAATGAATGGCAGCCAATGGAGCTCCTTAAACAAGGGGGTTGACCACTCCCTGTAAGTTGCACCAGTTAGTAATCTGGCTGGTAGGGTTCTTTGATTTCCGGGCCGTCTTCAAGGGCGGCCCCACGTAGAGTGCATTACAATAATCTAATCCATAACATCCAATCACAGTATGTAGCCAGTAGGGTGACCAAGTCAGGACTATTTCAGGTCCCAAACATAGAAATGATGGCCTGTAATGTTACATAGGATAGGCCTTATTTGTATTACAAAGGTGATGTTGCAAAGGGCAACAGCACAATTTCACAATTATTACTACGCAATTAGCATGAGCCACAATTACACAGAATAGAGCATTCAAGTAAAAAAACAAACCTACCATATATATTTTAAGGCAGTACTCTCACCCTGAGATTCTTCCCCCATGCCCTGATCAATGGAGAAGTGGGTTGCCGACCTCAGACTCAGGACAGGGCTCTGAAATCGAGGAACCCTACCAGCCAGGAATGAGTTGCCTTTGTTGCCACCGCACACGATATAGGCACTCCTCTCATAGACTCTCATAGACCTCTGACATTCCAGCTCAGTGATTCATTCATATTTGAAGGCGTGACTTTGATTGCTCAGTAAGTGGCTGTTTAATTACATTTCTAACTTTTGTGTACTGTGCCTATTCAATTATATTGGTTTTAAGTGCTGGAAGCAGCCTAAGTATGCTAAAGACACCAGGTCCAATCCGATCTTGGCAGCTAAGCAGGGTCAGCCCTGGTTATTGTTTGGAAGGGAGACCCCCAACAAATATCCCCTTTCAGGGGATGCAAATGGTATATCACCTTTGGGTTTAACAAGGTCCTAATAAGTTTATAGGCAACTTGAAGGCACAGACACACAAACAGCCATAATAATAATAATAATAATAATAATAATAATAATAATAATAATAATTTGGGAAGTGTCCAACGTGTGATCCAATTCAACAGCCAGCAGAGTGTCTGCTGTGTACTAATCTTGTTGTGTTTCAAATAATAATAATAATAATAATAATAATAATAATAATAATACAAAGTATGGATCATTGATGTCGCAATCCCAGGTGACAGCAGGATTGAAGAGAAATAACTGGAAAAGCTGACACGATATGAGGATTTAAAGATCGAACTGCTAAGACTCTGGCACAAGCCCGTCAAGGTGGTCCCAGTGGTGATCGGCACACTGGGTACAGTGCCTAAAGACCTTGGTCTGCACTTAAATACAATGAGCGCTGACAAGATTACCATTTGCCAGCTGTAGAATGCCACCTTACTGGGATCTGCACGCATTATTCGCCGATACATCACACAGTCCTAGAMACTTGAGAAGTGTCCGACGTGTGATCCCAGTGGTGATCGGCACACTGGGTGAAGTRCCTAAAGACCTTGGCCTGCACTTAAACACAATCAGCGCTGACAAGATTACCATCTGGCAGMTGCAGAAGGCCACCTTACTGGGATCTGCACACATTATTCACTGATACATCACACAGCCCTAGACACTTGAGAAGTGTCCGACGTGTGATCCCAGTGGTGATCGGCACACTGGGTGCAGTGCCTAAAGACTTTGGCCTGCACTTAAACACAATAGGCGCTGACAAGATTACCATCTGCCAACTGCAGAAGGCCACCTTACTGGGATCTGCACGCATTATTCGCCGATACATAACACAATCCTAGACACTTGAGAAATGTTCGACGTGTGATCCCAGTGGTGATCGGCACACTGGGTGCAGTGCCGAAAGACCTTGGCCTGCACTTAAACACAATAGGCGCTGACAAAATTACCATCTGCCAACTGCAGAAGGCCACCTTACTGGGATCTGCACGCATTATTCGCCAATACATCACAGTCCTAGACACTTGGGAAGTGTCCGACGTGTGATCCAATTCAAGTCTGCTGTGGACTCATCTTGTTGTGTTTCAAATAATAATAATCTATATAAATAAAATGTAATGTTTGTTTGTGGGATTAACATAACTCAAAAACGACTGGACGAATTGACACCAAAATTGGACACAATACACCTATCAGGCCAATGAGTGACCATCACTCATAAAAACACTGAAAAACACAGCAGAAGAGACTAAAAAGCCAAAAAACATTACAACGCATGCACAAACCACATATATACACAAACACAATATATACACATATCCACAAATATATACACACACAAAACACATATACACAGACTGGGCCACAGCAACGTGTGGGAATGGCTATAATAATAAATAATAGATCACATCCTCAGCTGCTGCAAGAAGATCGCGCAGACAGACTACAAGCAGAGGCATAACACAGTTGCTCAGATGATTCATTGGAACTTGTGCCACAAATAACATCTGCCTGCAACAAAGAACTGGTGGGATCACAAGCCTGAAAAAGTTACAGAAAATGAACACGTCAAACACTCTGGGACTTCCGGATTCAGACAGACAGAGTATTGGAGCACAATACTCCTGACCTCACAATCATGTTAAAAAACAAAGTATGTATCGTTGATGTTGCAATCCCAGGTGACAGCAGGATTGAAGAGAAAGAACTGGAAAAGCTGACACGATATGAGGATTTAAAGATTGAACTGCAAAAACTCTGCCATAAGCAAATCAAGGTGGTCCCAGTGGTGATTGGCACACTGGGTGCAGTGCCTAAAGACCTTGGCCTGCACTTAAACACAATTGGCGCTGACAAGATTACAATCTGCCAGCTGCAAAAGGCCACCTTACTGGGCACATGTCACACAGTCCTAGACACTTGGGAAATGTCTGATGTGTGATCCAATACAACAGCCAGCAGAGTGATCTTGTTTGCTGTGGACTCATCTTGTTGTGTTTCAAATAATAATAATAATAATAATAATAATAATAATAATAATAATAATAATAATACAGCATATAGATCTCATTTGCTGTGACATACTGTGTTTTTGTGTCAGAATAATAATAATAATAATAATAATAATAATAATAATAATAATTTATACTCTCTTTATTCTTTCTGCATTTGTTCCAGGACTGGTACAATCTACACTACCTATTTCAAACAACCAATGCTGAAAAGGACCAAAGGACAGATGCATCTGTGCGTTAGTTTCTTCCGTATCAGTTCCTACAATCCAGGTCTCAAGACTCTCATGTAAGCAAAAGGTGTTCTGCTACAGACCAATTTATTGTGTGTCTCAAGCAAATGAGCTGATGTGCTCAGGGCAGGGAGATCAATGTCTGAAGTCTGGTGCCAAGAAACATTTTCCTTGTCATGATGGAAAACATGATATTGCCTCTAATTCATTGTCACCAGTTATTAAACTTGCTATTAGCCTCAGATACACATTGGAGAACAATTAAGTAAATTAATGGAGGGAATATCTGCCGATCGTCACTATCCAGAATGGCTGGGAAAGGTACCTACATTTCATAGGAAACATGTCTCCAAATTCTGGAGAGAAGCTATAAGAAAACACCACCACCCAGCCTTTTTAGATGGACTTTCATCTATTCAAAATAGGACTTTTTGCAGAGAATCTTGCACCATTTGCAAAAAGGACAACTTTACTCTCATTATATAGATGAGGAAAATGATCCTCAGCAAGGTCTCTCTATATTGAGCAACCTAGGATTTGGAGCTCGCAGTGGCACAGTGGATTAAAGTGCTGAGCTGCTGAGCTTGTTGTCCGAAAGATCGCAGGTTCAAATCCGGGGAGCGGCGTGAGCTTCCGCTGTCAGCCCCAGCTCCTGCCAACCTAGCAGTTCGAAAACATACAGATGTGAGTAGACCAATAGGTACCTCTCTGGCAGGAAGGTAACGGTGCTCCAGGCAGTCATGCCGGCCACATGACCTTGGAGGTGTCTACAGACAATGCCAGCTCTTTGGCTTAGAAATGGAGATGAGCACCACACCCCAGAGTCAGACACAACTGGACTTCATGTCAGGGGGAAACCTTTACCTAGGATTTGAACCATTACTTCACATCCCCCTTCCTCTCTGCTAAAAAAAATAAATAAGTCCAAGGCTTAAATTGGCCAAGAAAATTGCCAATTGAAGGCTTGAGACGAACATCTCCATTCTGTGTAGCTTGTCAATGCAATACATTGAAAAATATTTTGCGGCAGGAAGGATTGGCCATGGCCACTGCAAGCTGTCATCTTATGCTGTATTTTTCCCTCTGAGCTCCATTAGCCAAATTCCACTTCTTTAACCCACAACAAACAATACGTGTCTGGACAGGAACTAATCCTTCTCGGTGGTCTGAAGGAAGAAATTCAGCTCACACACTGAATTTCGAGTTGGCTGCTAAGGCAACTTTTCGGAAACAGAAACCATTGTGAACCATATTCTATGCCATAGTGCTATCAGACTCGGTTGACTTACTTGGACCTTTTCCCCCTGCTCCATTCACTTGGTTTTACCTGTGGCTTCACATCTTGTTAGCTTTCCCTTCTGACCTCGGCAGTCCCATTTCTTTCTTCTCTCGGTCCGCACCTTCAAGCACAACTGGGCCCTTCCTTGTTGATTGTGTCAGGAGCTTCCATGGACCTGCCCAGGCTCGTGTATCTGGTCTGAACCTGCCTCTGGTCCTCCTCGCTTGTTTTCAGCTATGTCAAGAACAGGCAGCGGGGTTGAAAAATCACAACACAGACCTTTGCGTTGGCTTCCTCCTGCAAAGACGACTGGCAATTGAAGACAACGGCAACAGGAAAAAAGCCCAGGGCAGGAAGCTTTCTTTGAATATCTTCATCATTGCCAAGAAGTGCGCAAGTCCCTTGACATTCAGGATCAACCTGGAGCAACAAAAGCAACTCCTCCGGAGGTGGACAGTTGCATCAGAGCCCAGGAGGAGTGTCCAGAAAAACGGCTGCAGATCCAGCCAGAAAAACAAGAGTCAGAAAGATGCCACAGGAGAGCGGGGGAAGCCCACACGGCTCACCACACCCTGGCCGCTTCTGGCTGCTTGCTTCCACAGAGGGCACATCCAGCCGGATACAGGTGTTTACTTGTACATCAGCCAAGGAAAACCCTCTGCAGTCACCCCTGAACTTACTTGGTGAATCTTCCCTCTAAGGTGGCTGCGGTGCTCCTGTTCTCGCCTTAGTCTCCTTGGAGTCATGCAGAGTTTGGGCTCATGAGCCGAGCAGCCAGGATGATGTGGGTGTTCCCATCAGCCTGAACTGGATGGAGGAAGGAAGCGTCCTCCCTGGGAGGAAGTCTCCCCAAGGCCAGGGAAGGAGGGGGAAGGGGACCCATTCTATGGGTAGCAATGACTCACTGAGAGTCTCCCGTTTTCATGTGCATGATTTACACCAGCCTCTGTGGTTCATCTCCACTCTTCCCCTTCTTCAACTGTGTCATGTATTTCATTCAGTTAAATTGATTGTATTGGGCTCTTCAGGTTTTCCAGTCACTCAAGGATGGAAGCATGGCATGACCCACATATTTATTATTATTTCTACCCCATACTTCTCAACCTCCCCGGGGGGAGAGGGGGACAACTCAGGAATTCGATGCCGCAACATACAAACAAATACAAGAATATAACAACAATTTAAAACATATTAGTTGACATATTCATGGAACTGTTAACCATGGCTTCATTTGTCCATATATAAAAACACAGATATCTATTGCTAAGATACACAAAGTATTTTGTTATTGTTGTTGAAACTTCAAATATGTCATAGGGTAAAGGTAGGTAAAGATTTTCCCCTGACATTAAGTCCAGTCGTGTCTGACTCTGGGAGTTGGTGCTCATCTCCATTTCTAAGACAAAGAGCCGCCCTTGTCCGTAGACACCTCCAAGGTTGTGACTGCATGAAGCGCCATTACCTTCCCGCCAGAACAGTACCTATTGATCTACTCATATTTGCATATTTTCGAACTGCTAGGTTGGCAGAAGCTGGGGCTGACAGTGGAAGCTCACACTGCTCCCCGGAATCGAACCTGCGACCTTTCAGACAACAAGCACAGCAGCTCAGCGCTTTAACCCATGGCGCCACCAGGAGCTGTATGTCATATGATGTCATATGACAGGTTTATTACTTATATACACAATACAGAGGAACAACTTCTCTTTGTCATGGATAAATGTCCATATTCATGTAGTTCAGGGGTCCTGAAACTTTGTAAACAGAGGGCCAGGTCACAGTTCCCAAACTGTTGGAGGGCCAGATTATAATTTGAAAAAAACGTGAATGAATTCCTATGCACACTGCACATAACTTATTTGTAGTTTAAAAACACTTAAAAACAATACAATAATTAAAATGATGAACAATTTTAACAAATATAAACTTATTAGTGTTTCAATGAGAAGTGTGGGCCTGTTTTTGGCTGATGAGATAGGATTGTTGTTGTTGTTGTTGTTGTTGTGTGCTTTCAAGTCATTTCAGACTTAGGTTGACCCTGAGCGAGGGCCGGGTTAATGACCTTGGAAGGCCGTATCCGGCCCCCGGGCCATAGTTTGAGGACCCCTGATCTAGGCAGGGGGTTGGACTGGATGGCCCATGAGGTCTCTTCCAACTCTTTGATTCTATGATTCTATGAAAGATGTTGAACAGGACCGGGCCCAGGACGGAACCCTGCTTATGGCACTCCGCTCGTCACTTCTTTCCAAGATGAAGAGGAAGCATTGGTGAGCACCCTCTGGATTTGTCTATTTAACCAATTACTGATCCACCTCACTGGACTAATCTGTTTGCCAGAAGGTCATGGGGGACCTTGTTGAAGGCCTTACTGAAATCCAGGTACGCTACATGGTTATTGTATTAATTGTTCATGTAACGGCATCGAATTGCTGCCTATGAAAGCCGTCCTGAGTCCCTCTTTCGGAGTAGAGAAGAGACGGGATAAATACCAGAAATAAATAACTAATAAATACATCCACGGCATTCCCCGCATCTACCCAGCTTGTAACTCTATCGAAAAAAGAGATCAGATTAGTCTGGCATGCCTTGTTTTTGATAAATCCGTGTTGACTATTAGCAATGACCGCATTCGTTTCTAAGTGTTTACAGACCACTTCCTTAACGATCTTTTCCAGAATCTTGCCTGGTATCAACGTGAGGCTGACCGGACGGTAGTTGTTTGGGTCATTTTTTTTCCCTTCTTGATGATTGGGACCACATTGGCCCTCCTCCAATCTGCTGGAACTTCTCCCATTCTCCAGCGAATGGTTCCGAGATATCCTTATGCATTTTCTAATGGGAATCACTCATAAAATCCAAATACAATGATTTTTTTCCTAATAAATAGTGTTACAAATTACCTAAACTACCATTATATGAATTGCATTGATTTCTTATAAAAAATAAATGATAGCCTGATACTTATGGGTGGACCCCTTTTGTCTCCAATATTTTAAAATCCAGTCTGTTAGTGTGCAGATACGGCTGTACCAGGAGCTCCAACTTTATTTGCTTTGTATTAAATGTTTGTTTGCAGTCCTAGGTTTCAGGGATTCTGCAGATAGGTGGCTTCCTTTGGTTGCAGTCGTAGGGCAAGTCATCTGTCCATCATCGTTAAGTTTTGGTTCCGCCCCTTGCTCAGGGTAATTGGGAAGGGAGCCATTTTTAGTTAGTCTCAGCAAGGAAAGCTAATGTACAGGATGTGTGCAAGCTTCCCATGTACAAAAGCTTCAACCCTTAAGATCTTCCGGGGGAGAACAGTCTTAAGAGCCTCCAAAGATTCTAAAGATTTCCAGGGAAACAGCCCTAAAGCTTTGAAGAATTTCGGAGGGTAAACAGTTTGGAAGACCAAAGAACTCCAGCTGGAGAATATCTAAACTTTTACTGGTAGGTCTACTCGGTGCTTCGAGACGCAGTTCGACCCGGTAGCGGAGCCCACATCAGTAAGGATTAAATTACAGTCAGCCTGGGAGAAGTTAAAAAGGGGATTTTCCTTTAAAGTAAAGAAGAAGTTATTGAAGACAGTTGCCTGTCCTTCGTGGGCAAGTTTAGGAAGCCACCAGTTGCATAAAAGCCTGGAATCATTTGTTTATCTTTACTGAAGACAAGAGAAGTTTCTGTTTGATTGTTCATTAATAATGTTCATTCGTTCAGTCGTCTCCGACTCTTTGTGACTTCATGGACCAGCCCACGCCAGAGCTCCCTGTTGGCCGTCACCACCCCCAGCTCCTTCAGGTCAGGCCAGTCACTTCAAGGATGCCATCCATCCATCTTGCCCTTGGTCGGCCCCTCTTCCTTTTTCCTTTCCACTTTCCCCAGCATAATTGTCTTCTCTAGGCTTTGCTGTCTCCTCATGATGTGGCCAAAGTACTTCACTTTGTCTAGGATCCTTCCCTCCAATGAGCAGTCGGGCTTTATTTCCTGGAGGATGGACTGGTTGGATCTTCTCGCAGTCCAAGGCACTCTCAGAACTTTCCTCCAACACCACAGCTCAAAAGCATCGATCTTCCTTCACTCAGACTTCCCTAAGGTCCAGCTCTCACATCCGTAGGTTACTACAGGGAATACCATGGCTTGGACTAGGCGGATCTTTGTTGCCAGTCTGATGTCTCTACTCTTTACTATTTTATCGAGACTGGACATTGCTCTCCTCCCAAGAAGTAAGCGTCTTCTGATTTCCTGGCCACAGTCTGCATCTGCAGTAATCTTTGCACCTAGAAATACAAAGTCTGTCACGGCCTTCACATTTTCTCCCTCTATTTTCCAGTTGTCAATCATTCTTGTTGCCATAATCTTGGTTTTTTTGATGTTTAGCTGCAACCCAGCTTTTGCGCTTTCTACTTTCACCTTGATTAGAAGGCTCCTCAGCTCCTCCTCACTTTCGGCCATCAGAGTGGTGTCATCTGCATATCCGAGGTTGTTAATGTTTCTTCCAGCAATTTTCACCCCAGCTTTGCATTCCTCAAGCCCCGCACATCGCATGATGTGTTCTGCATTAATAAAGGACTTTGTTATACTTCACAAGCCATCTAAAGATCATTTGTGGTGGAAAACCTCTGAGAACTTCTCTTTGGGCCCCTTGGCTTTCCGCTGGGAAAAGGTTGCACGTCCTGTTCTAAAAAAAATTCTTTACAGGCCCAGCGTGCGACAGAACAGTTAGACAAGTCTGTTCGAACAAGGAATGGCCCACCTGTGCCTTTTAAAAACAAGAACATCTTCAGAGTCAATTTTATACAAAGATCACAGAGTGTCATCCCAACTCAGGGAGACAATTTCAGCAAGGATAGCCATTTTCCGAAACTGTCTTAATGGAAGGGCTTAAACTGTGGATTAGTATAAATTAAAACTTTCTAACTTCCCATCAGACCCATTTTGCTATAATTGTAAGCTGAAAGGTTTTTTCTTTATTCAGTCTAGTTTTGACTTGCAACTCGTTGGCTTAATGAATGGCTGTGATTATGTATGAATAGAAAAGCATAACATGTGTAAACTACAATACAACAAAAAAAAATGAACTGGGTAAAGAGCTGCAGTACGATCAAATCAGACATTTGATCGATCAAATCAGGCATTTCCAGTAAAACCAGAAAGTGGTATTAAGCCTTCATAGTTTGGCAGAACAATATTATCTCTGCCAGCTGTATAGAAGACAATAGGAGGTAATGGTGTGTGTGTGTGTTTGTGTGTGTGTGTTGGCAAACTTTCAAAAGAGCTGGAGGAAAAGGAAATGTAAAGGACTAAGAGCATGAGACAGGAAAGGGCTGTAGTTTCCTCCTTAAATATCCAGAATATCTCCCCAATTCCTGAACAACATCACAGGTATTTTTTTCCTGTAAAGTTAGCAATACTGGCCTACTTTGCAAGAGTGTCGTTGCTGAAATAATATGTATGTGACTCTTGAGGTATGTAAACTTATGTACAGGAAAACACCAGGAAATAACATGGGGGTGGAGGGAGTACAGGCAGTCCCTGAGTTACGAACATCTGACTTACACACGACTCATAGTTAAGAAGGCTGTCAAGGTCCTGAACCGGTGCCTGGCCGCTGTAATGGTCTGGATGAAGGCGAACAAATTGAAACTGAATCCAGACAAGACAGAGGTACTCCTGGTCAGTCGTAAGGCTAACAGGGCATAGGGTTACAGCCTGTGTTGGATGGGGCCGCACTCCCCCTGAAGACGCAGGTTCGCAGCTTGGGTGTGACCCTGGACTCATCGCTGAGCCTGGAACCCCAGGTTTCGGCGGTGACCAGGGGAGCATTTGCACAGCTAAAGCTTGTG